GTAGTGACAATAAGATGTCAGAGTAGGAAAGAAATAATGGAATATGTTCTCAGCCACAGCCCTTTGCTGTCTTACCCCATGTTGGTGCAGTGCTTTCTTTGACCCACAGTAACTTATTTTACACAGAAGAAAAAGGAGATTAATTATATTTCCTAATTATATTTTCTATATTTTCTGCACCACATCTCCCATTAGAAATTCTGTTGTAGGTATTTAATACAAATTATATTGGAATTGTGGGTATTAGAATAATTACACTGAAAATTCCAATGATGGCAGAAAGGCTCCTGAGCCTGTTGGAGCATTAAATGGGATATTCCAAAGCTCTTTGTGTGTGCTGTAAAGGGTTCTTCTCAACAGAGGGTCTGCTCCACCAAGCCCATGGATTTTTGTGCTGTGTCAGAGCAGGCTCAGCCATCCTGGCAGCTGAGAGGTGCAGTAATGGAAATGGGTCAAGATTTGCTCTCTGCTGCTGGAGGATCCTTCAGCAGCCAGCTCAGGAAGCCTGGAAAACCCTTCTCCCATCTCTGTCTGGGATTGATGCTCAGCTGAATCCTGGTCCTCTGCTGCTCCTTCTCCAGTGTGAACAGAGCAGTCAGGGATGTGGGTCTGGAAATCCCTTGCTCCGTGTGTCTGTTGGCCCTTAGGGGATGTGACACCCTTGGAGCTGCCAGGTCCCCAGGGTGGGGCAGAGTTCTGTAAATGAACACCTCACAGGGCAATGGAAGTGTCCCTGAACTGCAGAAAACAACATTTTGCCAGAGGACAGCACCAGGATTAAATTTAAATTTAAGCAGGGCAGAAGGAGGAAGAAGAAGAATAACCTTTTCCTTCCCTGTTGGCTTTGTCCTTTAAATTTTTTCATTTCTGAATGTTGCAGGAAATCTGACTTCCTTCACATTCTTTCCATTGAATAAAGTAATAAAAGTTGACATTTAAGATAACAGAACATGATATTCATATAACTCTGCATACACCTGTGAGATCTGTGTGTGCACACTGTGTTTCTTGGGTTTCTTTCTTTAGAAAGCTCATGTGAATAATTTTAACACCATGTCAATGCATTTACAGCTCACTGTGCATTTCTTGGGTTAACAGACACATGAGGCATCATTTCTTTTTATTCCACAGCTGCTTTTTGAGTATAAATAGAAAATAATTCCCAGGAGAGTCCCATGGATGTAAAGGGGAGCAGGAGTGTTACAATTCCACACTGGAGTCGAGCAGGTTCCCCCTGAGTGCAGAGCAGGAGGTGTTGAACAGTTGTACAGAGTTTGTCCCCAGTGCAGTGGAAATGTCACCTCTCGTGCTGCTCTTGGAGCTTTGCTGTGTTTAATAGTTGGGAACTGGAACTGCTGGGCTGTGTCAGCAGCAGCCCCAGAGCTCCCTGGGCTGGGGGCCAGGCCTGTGCTGTGATCCAGCTAATCCTGTTGTGGTGCTTTATTAAATGTTTGTTGAGAAATGCAGCGTGTTTCATTAAAAAGAAATCCCTGCAGGAAGCACAAGTCCTTGATTCCATTTGGAGTGGGGAGCTCCGTTTGCTAGTGCAGGGAATTATCCCTAATCCACCAGCACCCAAAAAGGATTTATTTCCTTTTTGAGAAGTGAACCCAAAGTTAGGGACACTCCAGGGATGGGTGGCAGATTGCTTTTAGGTTCCAGTCAGCAGTGGGGAAAAGCCTCTTAGGAGAAATGTATGAGGCTTATGGTGGCACGCTGTGGAAGTGTTCTGGCATTAGGGATCCACATTCCGTGTCTCTGTGGGATGGGGTGAGACTTGTGTTGCTTTTGGGGGAAGGGTTTGACCATTTGATGTGGACTCTGCATTTTCTCTGTCGTTCCTGCTTATGTTGTATGAATTGTATGAATCCAAGGATCAAGGCAGTGACAGCTGTAGAACAAGTGAGGAGAACCCTTTGCAGTGCAGTTCTTAAAGCTGTGGAAATCCTATTCAACCAGCTCAGGAACTTTTCTTTCATCACCAGAAAAGTGATGAAAAATTCTTTTCCATGTAATTGTTGTAATACCCACAAGGAAATGTTCCACATAAGGAATATGATGGAATTGAAAGTAGATGAATTTGTGGAGGAGAAGGATGGGATAAAACTGGGTGACGTGGGCAACATGGATCTGCCTAAACAGATGTGATACAAAAACCATCCCAACCCCCCTAAGCTTCAGCACAGCTGTGCTGCCTTCTAAAGGGTGAATCTACTGGAATGTAACATTAACATTCTGCTCTTGGAGCTCTTTGCTGCACCCCAAAGTTTCACTGCTCTCGTTCCAACACCAAAAGTGCTTTGCTCGACCTTCCTGCCTCACGGTCTCCATGCCACTGCCTTTATCTGAGAGAAGGCCTTGCTCTGCCTCCCTGTCCTGCAGAGAGCCGTGTGCCCGAGGTGCCCAGCTCCCTGCACGTGCGCCCGCTGGTCACCAGCATCGTGGTGAGCTGGACCCCGCCCGAGAACCAGGACGTGGTGGTCAGGGGCTACGCCATCGGCTACGGCATCGGCAGCCCCCACGCCCAGACCATCAAGGTGGACTACAAACAGAGATACTACACCATTGAGAACCTGGGTGAGTGCAGGGAATGGCATCTGTGCCCCAGCCTCCCTCAGCGCTCCTCTAACAGCTTCCATGGGAGCAGCAGCCCGAGCTCGCCGTGCTCCCCGCCGAGCTGCAGGAGAAAAAGGGACTGAAATGTCACCAGGATTCACTGGTGGCTCCTTTGAAAGGAAAATAAAGATTCACCTCTCCACAGAACCCTCTGTGGGAGGTAAAGTAGTCTGAAAGTGAGAGAAACAGCAATATTGGGAATTCTATCAAATCGGAGGTTTGAGTCGTTTTTGTTTTGCTCTTCTAAATTGTTTTTCTCACTCCTGATTTGGCTGTGCTTAAAGGTAGTAAAGGCTGTGCTGTAACTGTAACTTGAGCTGCGCTGTCCCTGCCCAGGCAGGGGGTGGAATGAGATGGGCTTTAAGGTCCCTGCCAACCCAAACCAGTGTGGGATTCTGTGGCCATGAACAGAAGGTCTGTGTGGAGACTTCCTCCAGTTCAAAATTAAAACAGGGAACAAAGGAAGGTATGGAGAAGCAGAAACCAGGATTCATTGGTTGTGCTGATTTCTTTTCCCCTTCAGATCCCAGCTCGCACTACGTGATAACCCTGAAAGCCTTCAACAACGTGGGGGAAGGGATCCCCCTGTACGAGAGCGCTGTGACCCGGCCCCACTCCGGTGAGTGCTGCCCCGCAGCTGGGCTGGGCTGGGCTGAGGCAGGTCCTGGCTGTCAGTCCATCCCGTGCTCTCTGTCCCTGTCACTGCTTGGCCTCGCACCTTCTGATAAACCGCCTAAATTGGGCTCGTTTGTGAATTCCAAACTCACCTGACAGCTACTAATGGACGTTCTTACTCCAAACGTTCCCCTCACCTGAGCACAGCCCACATGGGTGCAGTTCTAAAGGCCCTGAGCTGGGTTTATGGTCTTTTTCACTGAGATTTTTTGAACGTGATGCCTGTGTTTGCTTTGTGTCCCTCTGTTGTCACTCACACTAAACAACATCTGGGCAGTTTTTGTTTTGGCTTTGTAACCCATAAAGAAAAGGGTTTAAGCAGAGAAGTGTGCAGCTGAGCTGTTGCCATGGCATAGCTCGCTGTCCTCCCTCCCAGCCTGCTGACACCACCCAGGAATTTGGTGGGGGTGCAACACTTGGGGTTAGTCCTGATGAGCTGGAATGCTTGGAGATTCCTTAGAGGATGCTGGAATTGCAGTTCCACAGTTACTGCAAGTTGGTTTCTCACTTGGAACCTTCCTTTGAAGGTGCCTTCTGGGAGGTCCCCGTGAGTTTGGGAAGTGGCATCTGCCCATCCAGAGCTCCAGCTCTCTGTCCTCCTCTTTGTTTTCTGGGAGAGGACTCCGTGGACACTCCAGGCAAATGAAGTTACAATGACTGAGTGTTTGGGGCTCGCAGGCCATGGTTGAGTGCCCTGGGTACTAAGTAGGACTATGCCAGCAGGGATTTGTTGTTTTACTGTCTGGAGGAGGGAGGACAATGCAAGAGTGATGTTATTGCCCAGTCTGATGTCACCTATTAACTCTGGCTTTTCTCTCTTTCTCTCCATTCCTCACCTTCCATCTCATTGCACTTCCCTGCATCCCCTCTTTTTTGTTTTGGTTGACATTAAAATGCCACCTCCTCCCTTTTTAATTCTAAACCACGGCCTTTTCCCCACGGATTGCCCAGACACTTCCGAGGTTGATTTGTTTGTTATTAATGCTCCATACACTCCAGTGCCAGATCCGTCTCCCATGATGCCCCCGGTGGGAGTTCAGGCTTCCATCCTGAGCCATGACACCATCCGGATCACTTGGGCAGACAACTCCCTGCCCAAGAACCAGAAGATCACGGACGCGCGGTTCTACACCGTCCGCTGGAAAACCAACATCCCTGCCAACACCAAGTACAAGGTACTGAGGCCGGGGGCTTCCCAGCCCAGGCAGGGCAGGGGCAGCTCTGGGAGCTCTGCTGGGCTCCTCGGAGGGGCAGGATTGCTCCTGCTCCACTCTGGGAATGCTGCTGGGCTTCTCGGAGGGACAGGATTGCTCCTGCTCCACTCTGGGAATGCTGCTGGGCTTCTCGGAGGGACAGGATTGCTCCTGCTCCACTCTGGGAGCTCTGCTGGGCTCCTTGGAGGGACAGGATTGCTCCAGCTCCACTCTGGGAGCTCTGCTGGGCTCCTTGGAGGGACAGGATTGCTCCAGCTCCACTCTGGGAGCTCTGCTGGGCTCCTTGGAGGGACAGGATCCCTCTAGCTCCACTCTGGGAGCTCTGCTGGGCTCCTCGGAGGGGCAGGATTGCTCCTGCTCCACTCTGGGAATGCTGCTGGGCTCCTCGGAGGGACAGGATCCCTCCAGCTCCACTCTGGGAATGCTGCTGGGCTCCTTGGAGGGACAGGATCCCTCCAGCTCCACTCTGGGAGCTCTGCTGGGCTCCTCGGAGGGGCAGGATTGCTCCTGCTCCACTCTGGGAATGCTGCTGGGCTCCGTGGAGGGGCAGGATTCCTCCAGCTCCACTCTGGGAGCTCTGCTGGGCTCCTCGGAGGGGCAGGATTGCTCCTGCTCCACTCTGGGAATGCTGCTGGGCTCCTCGGAGGGATAGGATCCCTCCAGCTCCACTCTGAGAGTTCTGCTGGGCTCCTCACAGGGACAGGATCCCTCCAGCTCCACTCCCAGCTGAAGGCACAGCTCTGGGAATGCTGCTGGGCTCCTTGGAGGGACAGGATCCCTCCAGCTCCACTCTGGGAGCTCTGCTGGGCTCCTCAGAGGGACAGGATTGCTCCTGCTCCACTCCCAGCTGAAGGCACAGCTCTGGGAATGCTGCTGGGCTCCTTGGAGGGACAGGATTGCTCTAGCTCCACTCTGGGAATGCTGCTGGGCTCCTTGGAGGGGCAGGATTGCTCCTGCTCCACTGCCAGGGCAAAGACAGCTCTGGGAGTACTGCTGGGCTNTGGTGGGAGCAGTTCTTTGCTCTCCTGTGGGAATGAGCTGGAGCTGGGTGTTGTGGGAATGGGTGGAAGAGCTGCTCCAGGGAGGGAACAGAAGTTTCCAGAGTTGTTCTGCTCTGTGGACACGGTGAGTTTGAAGCTTCCCCCTGCCCTGATCCTGGGGAGGGGGAGGTGTGGGCTCCCCTCTGGAGAGTCACTGAAGTACAGGGGGTGTGTGACTGGGGCCCCTCACTGAGCCATGCAGGGAAAACAGATTTACCCCCGTGGTTTGGAGTTTCCTTTAGAACCTTTTCAGTTCCTACAATCCTAATAGTGAACTTGTCCTTTGGGAGCTGACTTGTTTCAAAATACACAACAAAAACTTTATTGCATCCTTGCCTTCCTCCATTGCCATGTGTTTTGATTTGGAGACTGGATTTAGGGTTTGGTTTGGTGGTTGGTTGGATTTTTTTATTAATTTCCAGAGTTACCCAGAGGGTTCAGAGCTGCTGACTGCAAATTTCACATTTGTAATGAGACTCAGAGGAACTGGTTGTTAAAATACCCAGCCAGTGGAGCTCCCTTTATGCTCCTGCAGAGCCAGCTTGTTATAATCCAGATATTTTCTTTATTGAAATGAAAAGATGTAAATATGTGTGTATTCCTCCTCTAAAGGCAAGTTACTTCTGAGCCACATTCCTGAGTCATGTGCAGAGGATGTCTCAGGAGTGGTTTAAATAAAGCTGCAGTTTCATTAGCTAATTGCTTAAAAGAATGAAATAACTAACTAATGAGATAAAGTAACTTAAGAGAATGAAATAAAATAGAAGATGGAATATAATAGTAAATTTACTATTCCTGCTGTTCCACTGCTGGTGGTCAGTGGGCAACAAGTTTTACTGTGACCAAAACCAACACGTAGTGATGGAATATAATTTAAAATTACTCAAAAATGTAGAAAGGATTTGCCTGAAGTAGAGAAGTTTGAGGAATTTGCTCCAATCACGTGTAACCTGTGGTGTGTGGAGAGCCCACATCCTGCTTTCCTCCCCTTGTTTCTGTTGGAAATGCTCTCCTGCCCTGCTGGAGGTTTTTTGGGAGGTCAGACCGTGCAGGGAGTGCTGGGTCTCAGTCAGGCTGGGAACCTCACTGCAGTGAGTGCAGTGCTTGTCCTGCCACCTCTGCAGGATCCAGAGCTGCATCTGCTCAGCTCAGTGAGGTTTCATTCTCCCTCTCATCCCTAAACTGGGTGTTGAGACCGTTCTCCGAGATGTTCTGTTCCTGTCACAAGCTCCTGAGGAAGGGGCTGTGTGCTCCTGCCACCAGTGGTTCCCCCTTCCCTTCTTTGTGCAGGAAGCTGAGGAAAACAGGGATTTCAGTGCAGTGAAGGATTTCAGTCCTCAGCATGGGGTTGTGCCAGTCTGAGCCTGGGAACAGCAGATGGGAAGCAGCTCTGTGCCTTGAGCTGTCTCTGCACTAACAGAGTGTTAGGGAATTTCAGACTTTCTATGCTGTCAGACACTGACCCCCAGAAGAACACTGCATTTTACCTGAAGCCACAGAAAAAGCTTCCAAAATTAAATATCAGAACTAGAATGATGAGTGTATAGTTTAAATAAAGTGTGTGATATCACACAGTAGAAAACATAGGGTTGAAAGTTTTATATATATATAGTAATATCTATAAAGCAAGATCAAAGTCTTATAACAGAAGCTAGTCTTAGTTCATCTTGTTCTTCATGAATTTGAGTAGTATTGTGTAATTAGATAAAAAGTCCACATTGCCAGACACAAGTAGTTATTAAGTTAAAAATAAAAATAATTTAAGTATCATTTCTTAATTAGACAGTTTATCCTTAAAAGACCTTATGAAGAGAGAAATAGAGCTCCATTTTTTACCTTATTAATGAAGCACTGTAAAACTCACAACTTATAAAACTGTAACAGTGGAGCAGTTTTCCAAAGCCCCCTTGTTGGTGTGTGGGGTTGTCCTGGGATCCATCAGGAATCAATGAAAATATTAAATATTGGATCTTTTAGGACTGCAGGAAAGAGAAACAAAAATTGTTCAGGGTAATATTTCTGGAGTTTGTTTCTAGCAGGTGAGCAGGCCTTGGTACTGTGGGATAGGCTGGGATCTTAAAAATAATGAAGTTTTGTTAAATTGTGGAGTCTGACACTCGGGGGGCTCAGGTGTGTCATTTAGACTCAGTGGGAATGAAAAGATCCCAAGAGTCAAAGGCAGAGATGGAAACCAGAACTTTCACCTGTAAAAGGAGCCCAGCTGCCACACCAAATAATACAAATATTGGAATGCTTAAATACTGCTGGGAATTCCAGCCTCCCGGAGAGGAGAAGCTTTTTGGGGTAAGGCAGCTGGGAATGCCAGATGGGAGGGAGAGATTCCTGCCTTGGACTTGTCATTGCATCCCTCCCAGCAAGGCCTGTCTCCAGGGAGCTGTGCCCTTCCAGCTGTGCCCTTCCAGCTGTGCCCTTCCAGCTGTGCCCCAGTCCCACCCACTCCAAACTGCACTGAGTGTGTACCAAGGAGAGGCCTAAAGCCCGTTGGAGGATTTAATTTTAATTCCTTTTAGGAGTCTTTGTTGTCTGGCCACAGACAGCAAAGCCCTGGGCACAAATCCCTGCCATCCCTTGGATCACCATTTCCTGAACTTCCATCCCTTGTAAGAAAAAAGAAATTAAGATCTTGGAGGTCTCAGGGTTTCTTTGTGCCTTTACCTTGGCAATAAATCAGCTGCACTCAGTGGTTTCTGGAGGCAGTGCCTGTTGCAGTTGTTGGATGGTCCTGTCAGATCCTGAAACAGCTCCTTAATTCTGTGTTTGCACCACTGCAGGTCAAGGTGAGGAATATACATATCTGTAAATACAGCTTTCCCTCTGTTCCATGGGCCTCCAATGCATTCTGTTGGTGCTGAAGCCATTGATAATAAATACCAGATCTTTATGAATCCTGAATTACCAACTCCACTATGAGCCACGTGTAGTTTCCTTGTGTGATCCTAAATAATCATTTTTTTCTGAGAATAATCTACATCTTAGTAAAGCTTCATTCTCTTCAAGTCTCACAAATGTATCTTTAGTTGATGGTTCCTTACATTTAAGGTTGTTCTGGAAATTCCAGCAGGGATCTGGGAGGCAGCTCCAGGTTCCAGGCAGGACTGTTCCTTGCTGTGCTTTTTGTTTTCCCCAGCCAGAAGAATTAATGAAATGCTGTAAACGAACCCCCAGGTAAACAGGGGTTTAACCACTGCATAACAAATGGGCCCTGGCCCTTGTGTTGTTTTTTTTTTTCATTTCCAATTGACTGCTGCTAAGTGCTCCTGCTGATTGCAGAATTTCTAGTGGAGGATAAACGTTGATATTTGATTAATGAATTTGCACGACAGAGAAGAACCAGCCTGAATTAATGGCTGTGGTTATGGAGATGGGCTGGGGCTGTCTGAGGGCTGTGCTCTGGGAAGTGCTGACCCTGCTTTCCCTTTCAGACTGCAAATGCCACCACTCTGAGCTATCTGGTGACGGGGCTGAAGCCAAACACCCTCTACGAGTTCTCGGTGATGGTGACCAAGGGCAGGAGATCCAGCACCTGGAGCATGACAGCACACGGGACAACCTTTGAATTAGGTACTCCTGGGATGTTCTAGAGAAACCTCCACCTGAAACGGTGCTGCTGATTAACACGTGCTGGGGGGGGCTGAATAGTTCACTCAGAAATTCTGATTAAAAAACAACAACATACTTGAAAATTGCCAGGGATGATTGCAGGAGAATTTACATCAAATTACAGAGGAGTCATGAATAATGTACCACACTTCATGGGCAGGAGAGAAGAAAGTCTCACAAGAAGCACGTTAGCAGCAAATACAAAGAAAACACTTCAGCAAATAATAATTAAAATTTGCTCTAAATGTGATGATAATTGTTACAGAGTGAGAAGGTGCATGAGGCAGATGAAGACAAAAAAATCATAGTAGGCATTAAGACATCCAAATGAGCCCTAAATTCCTGTTCAGGGCAGAAGAGAGGAGGGTTTGTAGCTGCCAGGAAAAGCTCAGGCCCAGGGAGTGACTGTGAGGGCCAGGCCCCCTCCCTGACCTGCCCCTCATTAGCTCTCTTACTCTGCAGTGTTAAATGAACTTTGGGCAATTAAATTCACTGCCTGTTATGCATAGGGCTCTCTTTACATGGACTTGGGAGGACAAAAAGCCCGTCCAAATGAGCCCAGAGTTCTCCTTCTAAATTAAAATACAGCCAAAAAAATCAAACGTGCAAAGAATTTGTGAGATTTTCCAGATATTCTATAATAGAAACTCTCTAATTTCTGCTTAAGAAAAAGCAAACCCAGGATAAAATATGAACTTACTCTGAAGTCCCAGTGAGCTTTAGCTGCTTTTGAAAATATTGTCGTGGTTTTGGGTGGGAATTCCATGATGTGGGGCCAGCTCTGGGCTGGGGCTCCTTTCCCATCCCACTACTGCCAGCCCACATTAAACACTCCATTTGGTGTTTGTGCTGACACATGTTCAATCCTCAGCCATAACTCTGCTCTGAGTGCAGGGACTGCAAAAGCTGCACAAACAAAGTGTTTTAAAAGAGAATTTGACACAAAGCCCCTGAGCAAGGGCACAATGCAGGAGGGCTCAGTGCATTTAAAGAGGAAGGCTCAGGTTGAAGTGCTTGTAAGGAATATTTGCAAATATGACCCAAAAGCTGGGGAACTAAGGAGAAAATTTAAAACAGAAATAATAATAAAAAAGGCTAAATATATTTTCTCATAACAGATCTTGTGATTTATAATATTGGCCAAATTCCTGAGTGAGTGGCTCATTATTTTGGGATACTCCAGAGAAGTCGTATAGGATTTGCTTCTGAAAGGAAAGTAGGGAATTCTGGGCTCTGTGTTGGCTGTGTATTCCTCATCTCCTGTGGGCTACTCCTGATTTTCTATTTTTGTTTCCTCTGAATCCTATTTTTGCAGGATATTTGGGGCAATAGTTACAATAACTCCTGGGCTTTGGCTCTTCATCCCAGGGGATAATTGGTGGCCATCCCAGAGGATTTATGGATGGATTTCTAATAGGTCATGTACCTAAAGCTCTGGAAATGCAGAATCACTGCTACTGCGGTTGTACCAAACACCCAAGGTGGATTTACTCCGGGTTGCCCCCTCAGGAGCCTCCTGGATTTCAGGATGTGGCACTGCAGGGATGGTCAGTGCCCTCTGGAGGCTCCAGCTCACAGCAAGGCTTTCAGTTTTCTGCTGGAGCCATTTGTGCTGTTTCCTCAGTTTTTGGCAGGGAGAAGGAAAACTCTCCCCTCCTTTCTTTCCCTCAGTGCTGTTCTCTGGCAGCCCAAGAAAAAAGGCCAGCCAGTTGTGTTCAGCAAATCCTTCTGCATTTGAAACCCTCTGAGGTGCAGATGCCTTCCAAACTAAATCAATCTTCAGGAGCTCCATCAGGCATTGCAGCTTTGCCCAGAGCAGCTGGGGCTGTCCCTGGATCCCTGGCAGTGCCAAGGCCAGGCTGGACAGGGCTTGGAGCAGCTGGGACAGGGGAAGGTGTCCCTGCCAGGGCAGGAGTGGCACTGGGTGGGCTTTGAGATCCATTCCCACCCAAACCATTCCAGGCTGGTAAAACTCTAAGTTGCTGGTGGATTTACTTTGCTGATTGGGATTTAAGTGGCAAATGGGTGTTTCTGGGTCTGAGGCCCACAATAAACCTGGAAACAGGGAGGTATTTCAGATGCCTGCCTATGCAGAATGTGTCTTTCACAAGCTTGGGGGATTTTTGTGATGACTGAAGAAATTCAGGTGGGAAGTCATTTGTGCAGGTTTTTCAGGATGCTCAGGATGTCATGGAACACATCTGGTGCCAGAAGTGCCCTGGAAAGGTGGAACTCCATATGGGACAGAAGCACTGACATTGGATGGCACTGGCCAGTGAGGGGTGAATCAGTGAGGCACCACAGGAGCGGGGAATTTATAACAGTAAAGAGAATAACCCAAATATAATTGAACTCCACATCAGCTGGAGATGCAGGCCCTGAGGAGGTTGTTGCTCTGATGTGGCAGAGCAGCCCTTGCTGACACTCTGGGTTTGTGTTTCAGTGCCAACCTCGCCCCCCAAGGACGTGACCGTGGTGAGCAAGGAGGGCAAGCCCCGCACCATCATCGTCAACTGGCAGCCGCCCTCCGAGGCCAACGGCAAAATCACAGGTGGGCACGAGGGAGCTGCCCCGGGCTGCCAGGCTGCTCTGCCAGCCTCTGCAGGGGCTCACACTCACTGCTCACTTCTGCACCTCGTCCTGTACTCAGTCTGAACTAACTGCAGTGGGAAGTGGAAATGCAGCCGAAAGTTTCAATATCTCCATAAGCTTTGTGCTGTTCTAATAGCAGGCCTCCAGCAGTGTCCCCAGTGCCTCTGGCCCATCAGAGGTTTGTTTAGGAGAAGCCATCCCAGTGCTCTTTGTCATCCTTGTGGCATTTTTGTGCCACAGAACAGACGTCAGAGCAGTTTCTTATTCCCCTGACAGAACCATTAGGAGAAAACTGTTATTTGCCTTTAACTGATCACTGCCACATAGGATAAATCACTTCCAGAAAGTAGTAATTACTGATACCCTTCTATAATTTCTGTTCAGATTCCCATTTGGAAGGGCTTTTTGAAATAATCCACTTCAATGTTTAAAGCTGAAATCAGATTTTAATGGCATGTTGTTGGCAGTGTCTGGTTTTGGGTCTGAGCTCAGGATTAACCATGGTGCAGAATCAGACCTGGGACACCTGACTGGGCAGGACTGGAGCCCAGGCTCTGGACAGGAGACTAAAACTGATTAAATCATTGGGAAAAGGCAGCAAAATGTTTCCTCTGCATGGGAAAGGAGGATTGGCTGGAAACACAGGAGCCTTTGGGGAAGGGATTTGGCTGCCAGTGAGGGGCACACCCGAGAGAGAGAACTACAGAGAGCAGCATTTACCTGCACAGAGCTGGCAAAATTATCCCATTGTCCAGCTCCAAAATGCCCTGGCAGTGAAGGAAACCCTTGGAACAGAACTGTTCAGTATTTATCAGCTTTAGCACAAGCAGCAGTTAGCAGCTTAAAAATGAAC